GGGGGCGTGATGCTGAAAAGTTTGGGAACCATTGGATTAGAGGATTGGGCCAAAAGAAATCTGATGAGGTTCAACAAGGACAAGTGCAGAGTCCTGCCCTTGGGACGGAAGAATCCCATAGTTACAGGCTGGGGATCAGCTGGCTAAGTAGCAGTTCAGCAGAAAAGGACCTGGGGATTACAGAGGATGAGTAGCTGGAGATGAGTCTGATGCTGAAAAGTTTGGGAACCATTGGATTAGAGGATTGGGCCAAAAGAAATCTGATGAGGTTCAACAAGGACAAGTGCAGAGTCCTGCCCTTGGGACGGAAGAATCCCATAGTTACAGGCTGGGGATCAGCTGGCTAAGTAGCAGTTCAGCAGAAAAGGACCTGGGGATTACAGAGGATGAGTAGCTGGAGATGAGTCACCAGTGTGTCCTTGCAGCCAAGAAGGCTAATGGCATATTAGGTGCATTAGGAGGAGCATTGCCAGCAGATCCAGAGCAGTGATTATTCCCCTTTATTCTGCACTGGTAAGGCCACATCTGGAGTCTTGTGCCCAGTTCTGGGCCCCCCACTACAAAAAGGATGTGGACACATCAGAGAGGGTCCAGCGGAGGGCGACCAAAATGATTAGGGGGCTGGAGCACATGACCTTTGAGGAGAGGCTGAGGGATTTGGGCTTAGTCAGCAGAAGAGAAGAGTGAGGGGGGATTTGATAGCAGCCTGCAACTTCCTGAAGGGAGGCTCCAAAGAGGATGGAGAGAGGCTGTTCTCAGTAGTGACGGATGGCAGAACGAGGAGCAATGGGCTCAAGCTACCGTGGGGGAGGAGAGGTCTAGGTTGGACATTAGGAAAAACTATTTCACTAGGAGGGTGGTGAAGCACTGGAATGGGCTCTCTAGGGAGGGGGTGGAATCTCCATCCCCAGCAGTTTTTAAGTCTCGGCTTGACAAAGCCCTGGCTGGGATGATTTATTTGAGATTGGTCCTGCCTTGGGCAGGGGGCTGGACTCGATGACTCCTGAGGCCTCTTCCAGCCCTAGGGTTCTATGATTCATAGAGAGGACACTTATTAAGTTTGCAGATGATCCCAAGCTGGGAGGGGTTGCGACTGCTCTGGAGGACGGGTCAGAATTCAAACTGATCTGGACAAACTGGAGAAATGATCTGAGGTGAACAGGATGAAGTTTACCAAGGACAAATGCAAAGTGCTCCACTTAGGAAGGAACAATCAGTTTCACACAGACAGAATGGGAAGGGATGGTCTAGGAAGGAGTCCGGCAGACAGGGATCTAGGAGTCAGAGTAGACCATAAGCTAAATATGAGTCAGTGTGATGCTGTTGCCAAAAAAGCAAACCTGATTCTGGGAGGCATTAAGTGTGTGGTGAGCAAGACATGAGAAGTCATTCTTCCGCTCTACTCTGAGCTAATTAGACCTCAGTTGGAGTATTGTGTCCAGTTCTGGGCACCACATTTCAAGAAAGATGTGGAGAATCTGGAGAAGGTCCAGAGAAGAGCAACGAGAATGATGAAAGGTCCAGAGAACATGACCTATGAAGGAAGGCTGAAAGAACTGGGCTTGTTTCGTTTGGAACAGAGAAGTCTGAGATGGGGACACGAGAGTGATTTTCAAGTATCTAAAAGGGTGTTACAAGGAGGAAGGAGAAAAACTGTTTTCCCTGGCCTCTGAGGATAGGACAAGTAGCAATGGGCTTAAACTGCAGCAAGGGACGTTTAGATTGGACATCAGGAAAAACTTCCTGTCAGGGTGGTTAAATGCTGGAATAAATTGCCTAGGGAGGTTGTCTAATCTCCATCTCTGGAGATATTTAAGAGCAGGTTAGACACACCTGTCAGGGATAGTCTAGAGACAGTGCTTGAGGTCAGGGGACTGGACTCTGACCTCTCAAGGTCCCTTCCAGTTTTAGTATTCTATGAAAATCATGGCTGATGTCGAAAAAGTAAATATGGAAATAAGTAAAACCGTTTCCTTAACACAAGAATTAGGAATCACCAAATGAAATTAATAGGTAGCAGGTTTAAAAAACAAAGAGAACTATTTCTTCATATAACACACAGTCAACCTGTGGAACTCCTTGCTAGAGGACGTTGAAAATGCCAGGATTATAACAGGGTTGAAAAAACAATTAGATAACTAGATGGAGGACTGGTGCCCAATGGCTATTAGCCAGGCTGGCAGGGATGGTGTCCCCAGCCTGTTTGCCAGAAGCTGGGAATGAATGGGCAACAGGGAGGGATCACTTGATGATCCCCTGGTCTGTTCATTCCCCATGGGGCACTTGGCATTGGCCACTGCTGGCGGACAGGACACTGGGCTAGATGGAGCTTTGGTCTGACCCAGTGTGGCCATTCTTCTGTTCGTACCATCATGCTCTCAGAAGTCTGCTTCAGCCTTAGAAAGCCTACACGAAACACGGGCGAAACCCCACTATCAGAGATGGCTACCCCAGCCCCAGCCCAGACTGGCACCCAAGCTCAGGGCCTGCAAGTAAATGAACACTCCAGAAGACAGTCAGAGCATTCACAAATTGATGTGCACAGCTGAAGCAGCAGCAGGAGGTTGGCAGTGGTGTCAGCTGGGACAGATGTCAGGGCAACTATAGGAGCAGGACTTTGGGAATGCAGTTTTGTGCCATCCAAAGTGCACAATCCCATTCGGGGCACACAGGAATGTTCAGACAGGACCAGATCACTGGACACCAATCTCTGCCTTTCCCAGGGTCAGAAGAAAGACCCTGCCACAGGAACAGTTTCCTCCGAGATCATTAGCTAGACCTGGTTAGGCCCAGAAGCAGGGGGGATTGCATCCCTTCCAAAGCTTTCCAGTAATGACCACAGTAACTCTGGCGGTGCCTAGCCATATAAATGGCCAGTCCTTTCTGGAATCCTGTGCAGCATTTGGCCTCAATCACATCTTGTGGCAAGGAGTTCCACAGGCTGTCTTTTGCAGAAACAGTATTTCCTTTCATCACCATCGCTTATTGACTGTTCTCAACAGACTGACTCTTCCCCAGAACACAAGAAGTTCCTGATCTACCTTCTCCCAATCAATCACTTTGTATCTTTGTATCCTACCACCCTCTCTAAGGTGGCAGTTCCAGTCTTTCTTCCCTCCAGGCGAGTTCTGTTACCACCCCTCCTGGCACCCATTCTTTCTGCAATGGGGTGACCGGAACTGACCACAGGATTCTAGGACATCCCCGAGGAATTCCACCGTGTCGTTCTCCGTCCTATTCCTTTGCCACCCTGCCAGGTGCGTTCTGACCACGGCTGCATACTCACGCCGTCGTCACCAGGGCACGGCCCGTCGGAGCCACCAGTGTCACCGTGGAGCCCTCCGAGGTTACCCCTGGGTCATATGCTTCTAAGTTTGCATTTCTCAGCACTTCATTGTGCTGCCCCCCCCCTAGGCCAGGCCTCCTAGTGCTCCGAGGGCAGGGGAGCCCAGCAATCCCGGGGGCCACCCTGCCCTCTGCCAGGGCTAACAGACTCACATGGTGCCGGACGTCGTGGGGACAATGGGAATATCCTCTGCCTCGGTGGGGATGGACCAGGGAATCTGGAACTGCGGGGCCAACTCCCGCATGACTATGTTCCTGGAACAGAGCAGAAGAGGCGCGAGCTACCCAGCAATCCGCCCCCCGGCTCCTCAGGGCGCGTCCTGCACACCCACCTCGCAGGCGCTGGCACCCCTCAGTCATGGCCCCGGATCTCCAGCACGGCACCTGGGCCATGGGCACCACCCGACCCTGCCAGTACCGGCTCGCAACTCCGCAGCGGGGAGGGATCAGCCCCTTGCAGCCTGGCGCCGGAGTCGCCCCTGCCGAGCCCCAGGCGAGCCGTTTGCTGGGCTCTCCAGCGCGTGGTTGTACCCGACACCCGAAGCCGCTCCCCTCACCACCCCGGCGTTAGCTCTGGACCTACCCAAGAATTTTGGCGCAGTCGTCGTAATACTTCATGGAGTTCTTCACAAAGCTGAACCCATTCACGTCGCAGACGAAGGAGTGGCCGTTCGCCCGCAGGAGGTCGAACCCGCACACGGTCTGCTGCAGGAGCAGGAAACCCAGGGCAGGGGTCAGACAAACCTCCCGGGCGCTCCGGGTACCGGGCAGGCGGCGCAGACACCCTCGGCGGCTGGGGCAGGGCTAAGCAGCACAAGCCCAGCCACCACACTGTGCAACGTGGCTCTCGCGGGCCCTCGAAGCTCTGCTTTCCCTGGCAGGAAGGCCAGCGCGCTCGGCTTCAGCATCCCCACAACACCAATGCGCGTGCACACACACACCCCCAGCCCCGATGCACGTGCACACACACCCCCAGCACCGATGTGCGTGCACACACACACCCCCAGCCCCGATGCACGTGCACACACACCCCCAGCACCGATGTGCGTGCACACACACACCCCCAGCCCCGATGCACGTGCACACACACCCCCAGCACCGATGTGCGTGCACACACACACCCCCAGCCCCGATGCACGTGCACACACACCCCCAGCACCGATGTGCGTGCACACACACACCCCCAGCCCCGATGCACGTGCACACACACCCCCAGCACCGATGTGCGTGCACACACACACCCCCAGCCCCGATGCACGTGCACACACACCCCCAGCACCGATGTGCGTGCACACACACACCCCCAGCCCCGATGCACGTGCACACACACCCCCAGCACCGATGTGCGTGCACACACACACCCCCAGCCCCGATGCACGTGCACACACACCCCCAGCACCGATGTGCGTGCACACACACACCCCCAGCCCCGATGCACGTGCACACACACCCCCAGCACCGATGTGCGTGCACACACACACCCCCAGCCCCGATGCACGTGCACACACACCCCCAGCACCGATGTGCGTGCACACACACACCCCCAGCCCCGATGCACGTGCACACACACCCCCAGCACCGATGTGCGTGCACACACACACCCCCAGCCCCGATGCACGTGCACACACACCCCCAGCACCGATGTGCGTGCACACACACACCCCCAGCACCGATGCACATGCACACACACACACACACCACCAATGTGAATACATACACACACACACCCCACCTATATGCATATGTACACACACACACACCAACCCCCCACAGCACCAATGCCCGTACACACACACCCCACCAATGTGCGTACACACACCCCACCAATGTGCGTACGTACACACACACACACACATACCCCACCAATGTGCGTACACACACCCCACCAATGTGCGTACGTACACACACACACACATACCCCACAGCAC